TTCCAAGGAGTTACACAAAATGAAACTGGGCACAACAGTTCTGATCATACGGTTAAAACGAGCGGGTAATTCAGAGAAATACAACTGGTTGTGTTACAAATGGGGCAACTGAACCCATGAATAAAGTAATGTTTTTGTTGTATCATATGGACTGAATCAAAAGTAATCTTGCATAAGGTTAGTTTAAATTTGGGGTTAGTACTGAATTAAGAGTCAAGCTTCAGAAACAGATTTTAACACTGCTTTTTCAAGTCTCTGATGAAATTTCAAAACTTCAAATCAATCTTTAAAAATTGTGGCAGATACTGACTATAAAATGCAAGGTATTCTTTGGCTGTGTTTCTCTGCAGTTGAATTATCTGTAAGGTACGTGACCCTGGGAGCGCTGGCTAGATAAAAAGAGGCTTAGTTTGAGATAGAGCATTTTTCCAGTTGCCAGTAAAAACCCGTGTCATGTCCTCCAAGGACCTAGGGCCCAACTGAGGATCCGAGTTGGATGGGATCTTAAAAGTAGTAGAAATTTCCCAGCAGGATCAAGCTCCAAATGAACACACGCTTGTATTGCAGTGAAAACCAAGTAAATAAAACAAAACACAGGCAGTATTTTACCTGATGAGGTCCAAAGGCTGTTCTTTGTAGAACCGCAAGAAACGGGCCCACTCCATGTACAGCGTGTATCTCTCGTTGTCACAGTTTGGATCATTTGCCTTCTTCCAGTACTGGCACTGCGAGCAAATCAGAGTAAAGGCAAAACATCTCATTGACAGACTCAAATACTACATTAAAAGAAATTAACATTAATGACGATGATGATATAATCTTAAGAGGGATGCAATTAAACTAATTTGAAATTCAAACTTGGCACTCTACTTCGCCACTTTAGTTAAGTAGAACCCTTTTTATATATGTCTTAGGAGAACATGCGTTTTCAGAAAACTTTTATCAATCTTAGACATTAAGTCAACCTGTACTGTAACCACATCATGTTACTTTACACCAGTGTTGTGCTGGTACAAACATACTCATCTGCACGGGTAGATTACTGCAGCGAATGCTTTGATCCTTTACACTGGTGTAGCATCTGCAACTGCAGAAGTTCAAGCTTCCCTAAGGTAGAAACCCACCATTTTACTCCCACTTCATTAAAAATAATGCAGATTTAAATCCTGTTCTCTGTACTTCAGGCTCTCACTGTAAATTGCACAGGCAAAAGCAATTCACCCAGAGATGTAAACTAGGGGATATAAATTCAAGCTGTTTCCTGCCTCCAGCCATAGCTCTGTAATGTACTCCGTGCTGCACTTTCTCAAGCTGTAATGCAAGGACATGCAAAATGAAATTCTGGCACTAATTAACTTCAGTGGTGTTCATCACCATCATGTATCTACCTGTCAAATACTAAGAAAATTTTGGAACTTCATCCGTTTCCTAGAAATTAAACAGCACAAAGTAACCGCAGTTTCTGACAGGGCTTGTAATTTTATTTTGTGTCATAGAACTCTGCCTTTGGAAATACTTGGCTATGTCAAATACTCAGTTTGGGACCTTGGGTTTCCTTTTTTTCTGAATGCCTCTCAATCCCAAAGAAGAGCATGAAAATTGGTTTCTAAGTAGAAATCAGGAAGTTTCAACAACCTGAAGCTTGCATTTTTAAAATATTACAAAAGGTTAAAGTTACATTTTAGACAATGATTTCTGAATCTGTCTCACGATTTTGGAATTGTTTCATACAATTTCTTAGCACTGGAGGTTAGTCGTACTTGTAGAGGAGAGAGTCTTGTACAACTGCTTTTTATTATCTGTGGTTTCGGTAGTCCCAACAGTATAAAGTACTTCCCAGCCTAGACTCTGATCAGCTGAACTTTCCCCCTGAAAACCTAAACAATGCCCACTGATCTGTTTCTTTTCATTTTCTAAGAATAAAAAATATTTATAAACATTTTAAAATATAAATCTATATATTTAAAAATATCTTGTGGTAGAATTCACAGATATAAATAAACAATTTAAGTTCACTAAAGCATTGTGAAAAATCTCAACTATGAAAAACAAGGAGAGAACTAAAGATTTAAGCAGCAAATTAAACACAACAATCAGAAGGAAAAAAGAAAATAAATGAAAAAAAAAAAAATCCATAACATACAGTAACCCATCTCTCGTTTTCTCCAAGGGATTTCAGGCTAAATCCATATATGTTGCATTAAAAATTGTCTCTACAGCAAAACTAAACACCAGTATTTACCACCCTGACCATACTTGCAGTATTTGCAGTTGCTCGCCAAAGCTCACTAGGAGATGCACAAGTGAGCACCCCACACTGAACTATAGGGCTGATGCAACTCATCTGACTTCAGGCCCGATACGGTTCTGATCCCAAGAGTATTTCTGTAACTACAGTATATGTATGTACACACCCTACACACACGCACGCTGCTGAATGCATGCATCTGTAGTAGGTATTTATTCCTTGTTATAAAATTTCTGATGTGCTACTGCAAAATCTGTACCATAAACATTATAGGAATAGACTACGGAGTAAGCCTCTTGCACGTTATGAGACTGACACAAGCATATCCTAGAAACTCAGCTCCTGTATGCATGCATAGGAAGAAACATTTCAGCACAAAAAAGCCAAATAGCAGGGCTGGCAGATATGTCTTGTGTATTATAAACCAGAATCAATTACTGGGACAAATGGAAGGGTTTGAGTGCATTTTCATTTCTGCTGGAAACAGCAAACATCACAGCAGGTGAAAGAGTAAAAACACTGGAAAATGCTCAAGGGAGCAGAAAGTTTAAATACTTACATCATGAAGAGGATATGCAGCTGAATAGGTGCCATTATTTAGCAGTCTCTTAATCCCAAATTTCTTCTTCCCTTCTTCCGTTCCATAAGGGCAACGTGTAAGAATATAATTAACCTGAGATTCAGACACAAAGATTTCAGACCCTTCCTGCTTTAAGGCCATTTAACAGAAACCTTTCATGGGTGCGCACTGTGTACAATCTGCGGGAATAATATGCAAGAGCAAGAAGCGTTTCTTCAGAAGGCTCTACCCTGTACGAGACCTCTGAGGGCACGCTTGCCTTGCAGACAGCTAGGAGATCCATTCCAACAAATACTTTTCCAGATTTGTAAGAAAGATGCACAGGCATCTAGGTTTCCTCATATTTACCCACAGATATCTCAGTTTATATACTCCTTCCTTGCATGAATATTCCTTCGGGACCGTGTAAATCTACATGGAAATAGAAGTAGACAAATTCACATACGTACTATTCTGTTTCTCATGGATGGTGAGAAGAAAGTGCTCTCGTCATTAATGAGGTACAGCTCCTGCTTATCCTTGCTGAATGGAGCCGTGAAATAATCCGGTTCAGGGTGCATGACCTTCTCAGGAAGCCTGAGCGGTGCAAGCATACAGTCCAGGGGGTTCTCCACTGTTGAGGGAATGTCATTTTCCTTGATAGGAACTTTAATGTTCAGCACTTCTGCATACGTGATCAGAACCTCCCACGGGGCATGGATCTTCACAAAATAAATCTTGCCGTCTTCAGATTCCTGCCCCAGGGAAGTTAAATCAGACATCAGACTTAACTGTGTTTTATTGCAAGATTTATGAGAATAGCTGCTATGCAAAATTTGTTGCCTTTCACATATTTTTGAAAGCTTTAAAAAAAAGGGGGGGGGGAGGCAATAGGGGGATTGCAAGGGTTCGCTGTGCAGGGCTGGCCTCTTGGCAGCCCAGGCGTCCTGCAGCCCACGGTGCTGGATGTAAAGGTGTTCTCCTGCCTGGAGGGGGCAGTTTTCATACAGCAAAGGAGTAGAGCGTGCAAGACTCCTTGCAAAAAGGAGTTACCAACCAGAGCTAAGATCTGTTACAGCCTCACAGCTGCGATAAGGAATAATTTTATCACAGGCCTCACCCCACAGTGTAAGTTCATCTAGTGTTCCTCTGCACACACCGGAGAAAATGGCAATCGGAAGGTATTTTTAACACATTGCTCAATGCATCCCCATCTATGGATGTTAGAGTCTAAACTTCATCGAGAGGTATCTTGCCCCACTCACTCTCTGGCAGAGAAAAAAAGAGCATGCTGACTGAAGAAGTCAGCATCCCATGTTCTCGAGTTACTAAACAAAAAGGTAACACCAATCAAATATCCTCAAGTTGTTCCTTCCCTCATTGTAGTGACAACATCCAGTAGGCATATGCTAATCTATTCACTGATTTCCAAACACGCTACTAGTTGTTAGGTGGGATTAAATCTAGCTGTGAGCATACTTCTCATTTACGTGGGTTTAAATGAAGTCAGAGCTATTTTGGAACTGCTTTCCTTTTGTTATGAAACCAAAAGCCATCACTTCCTCCTGAATTACAATTACTTTCCGCAATTCTTACGAACATAGCTGAAAAAATAACTCAAATGGACACCTTACGCTTGTTTCACTTAAATCAGTGGCAGTCCACTGGAATCTGCTAGAAAACATTATAATTTGTTTCAAAGACACAAAGTGGTATACAGTAATTAGTAATTCGCAGGTCTATTTCTTTGGTCGTTTTTTTACCTTTTTATCTTCCGTTTCTAGTTCCAAACCAGCTTTTTGCAGATTGCTCTCAAATTCTTTTCTTCTTTCCTGATAAGAAACAAACACACTTTATTAACTGATATAGTTAGCAACTAACTGATCATTTAACGATGACTTCGCTGAGTTTCATTCCTCCTAACTGCCCTGATGACAATCCCTTAATGCTATGTGACCTTTGTAAAAGCAAGCAGACCAACAAAGACCGGCTGATGCATACCAGGCCACGTCTGAGCAATGGCCAGCCTAGCATGGGGAGCTACACTGACTAGCAACGGGAGAGCTATTTGGTAGTTAGGAATAGGCTCCTAAACTGCCCGATCTTGTTAACCAGAGAAGTAAATGAAGTCACGCGCCTTGAGCATTTCTGACTCTTCAGGAGGATGCTGTGTGTGGTGTGTTATTGTTCAAGTTTAGCTCTATTTCTAAGAGAATGTTAAAACCAGACAAAAAGGAAAATCCTGGAAGCATCGGGAAAGCTGATCGCTTAGAATAACATCCATTTACCAGTTTCACCATCATGCGGATACCGATGTTCAAGTACTGATTACAGACAATTCAAACAGCATGCTTCAGAAACAACCTAACTGTAAAACTAGGCAAGACTAACCCATCGTAGGCTTCCAAACCACGCGTAGGCTGCATGTGCTTAGTTTGCATAAAGTCAGTGTGGACTTCAGGCAGAGATAACAAACCTGCCTGTGGCACTTGCCGATGGGCTCACGACCGCTGCGAGTTTGAGATGCTGCCCAAACTCTGTATTTTGCCAAGTAATTCCTAGGTGGTGTCTTCAGGCAAGAACATTTTCTTTCCCTCCTTCTCTGTAGAATTTTTGCTCCTATTGGGAGACTGAATTAATTTCCTTTTAATTATACTGCCAGAATAACTACAAGTTAAGCTAAATATTGAGCCCTAGCCTCTTTAGAACGCACTAGCTAGACTACCAATTTATTTCTAGCTTAGACCTGAAATGCTGTGTTTTCTCTATTGAAAGGCCTTAAATGACACTTTTCAAACACACTTTAAAAATCCCAAACCACCACCTTTTTCACCCAGTTTCCTTTTCCTGCGTGCCTCTGAGGATCACGCTGCCCTGTTTGCATTTCAGTTTGCATAAATTTCTCAGATGAATTAATACAGACTGAAGACTAGCTTTAATGGCCCCCATATCTGTGTTAAGATGTATTCATATATTTTCCTGTGTTAGTGGCCTTACATTTTTACCCATCACATCTGATTTTGCCAAATATTATTAGATACTAAATTAGACACCGGCCTAGATAAACTTGAAAATGAGATCATTCCTGAGTTCTAGCACATGCTGGGGGCAAATGCAATTCCATGCATTATTTTTTAGCTTGTCTATCCCACAAATCTGTCTAGATGCACCTGTATAAAGCCACCTGAGAACTTTTTGCTGACTTGCTGATCTAACAGAGAACAGTACAACTAAAAGGTGATTTACGATTACATTTGAAAGTGCTATATGAAAGCTGACACTCAGGCCTGGTATCCAAATGTATGTGCTATTCTGGATTACATTTTCTCCAAACAAAGCACGCTGGCGTGCATTCTTTCCCCAGCAAACACTGGAGGAGAGCCAAGTGAGTCAGCTCAGGGAGTTGTCTGCCGCCAGAGACATCATCCAGCTCCTCCTCCGGCTGTGCAGCTTAGTAACAGACAGAGCCAAGGGGTCTGGCCCCATCTTAACTGATCTTTCCTTACTGTATACACTTAGTGTGATAAATTGCAGTGCTTTAGTAGAAATTACGCTCTCTTTACCACCTTGCTCTTTTCCCATAAGCCACCTTCTCTGCAACCCACGTGAATGTACTGTACTTTCCAGTCACTTGAAACGACCATCTTTACAAGGAAATCAATCTGCTGCAAGAAAACAATGCTCCCCCTTTCCTTGCTAAATACTGGATTTGTTCCTGTCGCCATCAAAGGCTTAAAATGGACAAAATGTACCCTTGGACCAGTGCTGTTTTGTTTTAATATGGACTTGTAAGAATTTTAAACTTACTGTCCCAAACCTAAAAAGCTAGACCTGGTGCATGTATTTGTGACTCTGCTATAGATGCCACCCTGCAGTCACAGAGGGAAGCAATGTAAGTAACCACATTAGTGAAGGCCAGTAATAGGGGGTTAATGCCCTTCCTCACGTTTTGTTTAAGTACAGTTCTTAAGGCTCTCCAAAGCATCTGTAGAAGACTGAAACCACATTTTCTGAGACCTCTGTGGGCTATATAAAAGAGAGGCCAGAATAGCATTCACCTCGCCAAACACGGCTGTGGATAACCCGCATACTTGGACAGAGGAATCTGACCATTTAACGCACGCTTGTTGTAACGAACCATCCTGATAAGATTAACAAAGCAAGATCCAAAGTCCAGCGGTACTAATACGCCCAATGCAGATGCAACGCTGCACAATTAGTTACCTAAAGAAGATAGACAACTGTTATAAACCTGTTTCTTGATAACGATACTGCTACTGCTAGTAACAACAATCAATAAACAGGAGAAGAAAATGATTTTAAGTTTATAACATACTATTCCTTAACCAAACTCCTCTGCTTCACTTTTCCCCTTCCTTTAGGCAGGGAGAGCCAAGCTTACAAAAGCCTTTTACAGATGAGGACGCTCAGGCTTATTCTAACTGCAGTCACCTCTAGGCTATTGGGAAATAAACATGACCTTTAGGAACAATCCCATGCTACTGTAAAGCATAAAAGAACTCTGCTCTTCGCTGTACCCTGAGAGAACACAATTCACTTCACAGGGCTAACATGGATGGGCTCAGGCTGGGCTCAGGCTACCCACGCAGCTCCCTGGTGAGAACGTTTCAGGTGAGACAGAGCCCATTTAGGAAAGGCCCCTTGTCCTCTCATCCACCTGCGGTCACGAGTGGAGAGCTGACAAGATGGATGAGATAACCGGTCCTGCTGCAGGGACCACCTGCTTGGCTTGGGAGGGTGCTCTGCGTGCCCTCCAAAACGCAGGAGATGTCAAACGCCTTCCTTCGGCAAGCACCAACAATAAAGGTCATGTCCTGGTCATCCATGAATAACTTGTTAAGATATTTTTTAAAATTATATTTATTTTTCGACGTTCACATGCATTTCCTATGTGGGTAAAATATTTCCACTTATCTGCTAAAGGCTTTAAGGAAAAATATTGCCTCACAAAAACGTAATCCTAATTTTTCTTTAGAGAGACTTTATGGTTGGGATTTATTCATGTAGCTTATGGAAAGCAAGTTGAAAACAGAGTTTAAGCTGGACATTTTCTGGGGAACATCAAAGAAGTTAATGCATTTGCTCTGCATAAAGCTAAGGGAGAAGATGAAGAGACCGCCTCTTACATCTATATCAGGGCTGTGTTGAAACACACAAAGAAGTTATTCATCCCTTTCTTAGAAATGCAGAATAAAGCTGTTTCCTTGAGACAAGGAAACAAAACCCTTTGTCACAACTGTTATTCTCTTCCTATGAGCATTTCTATTCTTAGCTGTTCCATTTTGCTGTATCATTGTACTACAGCAAAAGAAATGCACATTTCTTTCCTGTGACAGCTGTACAATAGTGAGTACAGTATGTCAGATGAATTCCAAAGGCTGCAGTGCATCAATATTTAAATCTTGTTCCCACAAAGACAAAAGCACAGTGCTTCTATGCTAAGAAGTCTGCATTAATTTATGGGCGTATTCATCATGTAAAGGTCTGTGCTGGACATAAATAGAGGGCAAATTTCATTTTCTTAGCAGATTCCCCGGGAACTGTGTAAAAACTGATGTGCTGTAACATTGGTATCTTCATGCCTGTCTGCTCTGCGACGACAGAGCCAACTGAGAGGGCCATAGGCCAAACGCCTTTTCCCATGGGGCCATAAACTTTTGTGAGTAACAGACATATACAGAATTAAATCTCACGGAACCTGATGCGGATGTTCCAGCCTTTTGCAAGGCAGAGATGTTTCTTCCTAACTAAGTGCAAAGAGGAACTACAATATTAGCTACTAGCTCTTGGGTTCTTTCCCATGTGAATCCTCCAGTCAATGATGACACCCATATGGATGGCCTCTGGTCTGGCAAAGATTCCTGCTACACCCTACTGACCCATAAAGCAGTGAGAAGGAACTTGCTGCACATGGTACGAATGAGTGACTAGACTGAGCATCTGGCTCGTTTTCCTTCCAATTTGAAACATTACCTAAATAGTCTCCATTTCTTTCCTCATGTTATTTGAGTATGACTAATGGAAAAGTTTATTTTAAGAGTTGCTTTCACATATTTTGCATGGATATCTTTTTCTTCTCTCTATGCTGATTGGTCTACTCCTCCTCCTTCTTTTTCAAATGCATTTTGCTTTATAGCCGAAGGAGGAATCTAGCTAGAATTACAGCCTGGCAAAGCATCAGTGTGGGTTTCAAAGAGCATGCCTTCATATAAACCTATAGTACCATAGCCTTACTATGACTGCGGTCTCCCAAACAAATCTTCTGCGCGATCCTGCTTGACTAACCTGATCTTCTATGACAAGGTGACCCGCTTAGTGGATGAGGGAAAGGCTGTGGATGTAGGGTACCTGGACTTTAGTAAAGCCTTTGACACCGTTTCCCACAGCATTCTGCTTGAGGAACTGGCCTGGACAGGCATATTCTTTGCTGGGTAAAAAACTGGCTGGATGGCCAGGTCCAAGGGGTGGTGGTGAATGGAGTTAAATCCAGTTGGAGGCCAGTCACAAGCGGTGCTCCCCAGGGCACAGTGTTGGGCCAGTTCTGTTGAATGTCTTTATCAACAATCTGGATGAGGTGATTGAGTGCACCCTCAGCAAGTTCACAGACGACACTAAGCTGGGTGGGAGTGTTGATCTGCTGGAGGGTAG